TTCTAAGGAATAATCAGGAACAAGAAACTCTGTCTGGGAACAAACCAATTAAGAGTCCATTACTCCACAGATATGTAGGAGGAAATGGAGATGGATCGGGAACACATTGAGGAGACCGTCGAATGACATCGCTCGAGTGGAACCCCAATGGGAAAGGACGAGTGGGTCGTCAGTGTGAGGGTGATTTGGAGGAGATCATGTGGCGAGGAGGAGATAAGAGATTATAGGCAATCGTGGACCCAGCTGAAGAGGACAACAGAGAATAAAAACATAGTGGAGATGTGTTGTGTTCTTGAAGGTGTATTTTCCAACCAGAACCCTAGGGAATAATAATAATAGAAATAATATTGTGTGCACTTATAAAACAGATGTTTTGTTTTTCCTATAGACTTCTACCCTATACTGTTGTGCATTTCATTGATTGGTGCCATGTTTTAGTTTGACCGCCGATAGCTCTTTCCCAACCTGACCCTATGTCAGCTAACATTGCCCATTGTCGAGGAAGGCGATGGATAGGCAAGCACAGCAACACATGTCCTAACCATCTCAATCGGTGCAGCTGCTTCACAACCTCGTCGATTTATTTCCCCTCCTTACCTAGCACTCGATCGATGCCTAACCTCAATATTTCTCACTGTATTATACCACTTCACACGGGAGATAGAAGGCAAGCACCTATGATCAAAGACAGCTAGTCTTTTAATGTCTCCCACTCTCAATAGCCAGATCTCACAGCCACAAAGAAGGACGGAGCGGAATGATGAGCAGTACACTTGCCCTAATGTCTTCGCAATGTCAGTGAAATACACCAGTCAATATTTCAAAGCATTAAACTCTACTGAACTATAAGTACCAAGTCTTATGCACTGAACTTCACATCACTGTCATCATCATCTGTCTTTTTCCTTTGCTGACTGTACTAGACCAGTGCCAGTGTTTCAGTTCAACTTTCTTTGTTGCACACTAATATATTAATACATTTAGATGACTACTTTAATATCAAAGGAAATATCCGTTCTTTATTTCACTGCTAGCCAGTGGCAAACACGAAGTACTTTTAAATGTTATTAACGAAATGGCAATTCTTAGGTATATTGATCAATAATACGTATTATAGGTATAACAATAAATTAAACTATTTAAATGGATGCTACATTTCCCAGCTCTGATTCATATGGAAAAAGTTAACGGAACATCAGTGATGACTTAGTCAGTTGGCACTCTGCAATACATGATTAGTTTACTTATAGACTTGGATATCCTCGGCTTGGAGAGGCCAGGATTCCCAAGCGTAGAGGACGATTGAACGCATTGAATGATTCTAAATCTGACATTTGTTGTAGCAACGACGCCTGAAATGCTCCAGATTAAAGTATATCACTAGACAATGGGAAATCTGATTCGCCATACCTCCACAAAAACTCACACAAAAAATAAGGTACACGATCTTCCCGATCACTTTTAATACGCTGTAGTTTTATCTGCAAAAATAACAAGGTGACTTCAACTTAACACTTATTATTGACTAACTTTAAAAATTCAAATATAAACCAATCATGATGTTTTGTCTGTAGGATAATAAGATGGCGAATATAAATTGTGCAATATATATATATATATTCATGATTCCTTGATGGAGATGGACTATCCGATTAGTTTCATAAAGAAACATATGAAAACATCGGAGAAAAAACCTGAGACTCTGACTGCACGTAAGAAACCTCTATTTATTAAGTTACAATTTAATGGTGACTTATCAAGCGAGATTTTATTCCAAAGACTTTCAAGGAGTATACGAAGAACATTTTACGCAGCACACCTATGTTTGTCATTCTCTAGCCGACGAATGATTGGGACGCAAACGAAGGATAAGCTTGATAGTTTTGCCACATCTATGTGCATTTATCAATTCAACTGCACCTGCGGTGACAGTTATATTGGGCGTACTACTAGACAGCTTAGCCAACGTGTTAGTGAACATCTCCCATCGTGGTTTGGCAAAGGACAGACAAAAACAATCCGTAGCTCAATTTTGTCACACTTAATTGATAGTGGTCATGTGGTGGAGAAAACGAGAGCCTTCAAAGTAATTCATCGTATCCCACCGAATCTTTCCAATAGACTTCGTATTCGTTTACTGCACACAGCTGAGGCAGGCGATAGGCATTCGAACTATTAAACCTAAACTATGCATTCAAAAGAAGTTCGTACAACCATTATCCCTCCCTTGGCCTATTAAGACATAACCAACTAATGACTTCTACACCACCCCTTGTTTATATTTTCAACCCCTTTCTTATCATCCCTTAATCTTATCTTCATTATAAACGTGTTTCATTTCCTTCCCTTACAATCTAACATTACTTAATCGGTTCATTTGTTTTTACTAGCCTTTATCGACTACTTCCACCTGAACAGTTGTTTGTTTAATCATGCTTTTTTTTCATTATTCGTGTTATCACAGATTGCCTCACTTTTTCATCCTTATTATTGATAAGACCATTTTTATTATTATTATTATTATGATTACTACTATTATGACTAATTGCACAATTTATATTCACCATCGTATTATCCTATAGACAAAACACCATGATTGGTTTATATTTGAACTTTTATTTGTAAACTTATATATATTAGAGTTAAGCCTGATGAGATCTAATTGAAAACAATATTGTTCGCTTAAATGTGTTGTTCTAACTTTAAAAGTATCATTGATATAAGAATAAAACTTGGGCACTGTGGTAGAGTGTAATTCCATTATGGGTAAAATAATAAAATAAATAAAATAAAAATAATAATAATAAAAATAAAATTTACCCATAACTTTAAAAGTTTTAGTGACAAATTCATAACTGATAAAGTTGACCAAGTCAAACGGCAAAAATAATTACCCACTAACAATATTGGCTACCAGTGGTGTGGTATGAGAAATTGGGAGAGATTCGTAATAGCTGGCTTAGAATTTTATTCCTTAGGAGATAGTGTCTTATTTCAGTGTTCCTTAAATGAAACCTCACAACGGAAGAGTTATATCCTACTCCCCTCCCTTCTTATTGTGACTATACTAGGTGTCATGAATACAACAGGAAGTTGTTAGCAGTTTATAACAAATTTCAGTTTACAGATCTTTTAGTAATTTACAAAAGATGTTATAGACACCTTTACTGAAATCAAGATGTATTGTGAAACGTAACTATGTGAACAAAGATGTCATACAATTACACTTCTGAATAAATCTCTCAATGAATGCACTACTACTGGAGACTTCTAAATACTTTTGAATTCTACTGCTTAGTAATTCTGTTTATCAACAATTCCTTGAATACTGGGAGCATTCAAAATGACCAATCCTAATAACAATAATAGCTGCTTTATTTTGTACAGCGTTTATATATTGTACAAAATCTTCAGCCTTGTGTTTGCTGCATGATATTTTCTCTTCATCCAGGGTCGTCACAAATAAAACATCACGTGACGGTAGATCAAGTGAAAAACTTCTGCCTGACATGAAGCTCATAAGAAGAAATTATGGTGCCCTCTCCTTTCGTCTTCTTCGGTATATGCATGTAATTTGATTGAGTGGTTTAGAATTAGAAAAGTTTCAGGAATTCATTCTGTGAACCAAGGACACAAACCAGGAACAGCTGTCTCTTGCACTGCAATACGCCCAAACGCACGATTGTGTGTTTTTTCTCCCACGATAACTAGACACCTGCAAATCAGCAAGTGGTGGTAAGCACACTAAATACTCGAAATATACTCATTAATTTGTGAGGGAAACGTTTTTTGCTCAGTGAAGAAATATCTCTTTTCACAACGACTTCAATTTCAAGCTAACTGTACAGTTGTATTTATATCACCGAAAAAAGGCATTAAGTGGCACTGGAAACCGATCAGTCAATATTCCACATATGATAAGAATGAAGATAATTAAAATAATGTACTATGAGGGTAGAGTTGGAGTGGATGAATTACAAAACTTTCAAAGTTTATTAAGTAAGTGAACTGGTATAACGATTTTTTAAATACTAGGTGGTGTTGTCGGAATTGTCATCTGAATTGATAACAACCAGTGGTGTCCGTCGAGGATGTCCACTTTCCCCATTTCTGTTTAACTTCATCATAGATATGCTAATGGAAGTATCCTTAACTGAACTTAACGATTTAGGAATCGACTTATTACCAGGGAAGTCTTATGGACTTAGAATCTGCAGATGACATAGTCCTGTTAGGGGAGGATGCTGACAAAATGCAGTCTTCTGAACACCTTGAGCAGCAATCTTCGTATGTTTGGAATACGATTCGCCCCTGTAAAATGTAAGATGCTGCTACAGCACTGGACTACGTCAACTCCTAGCGAGCATCAGATTAATTTTCTATAGTTTGGTTTGTAAGGCTTAGTTTTAGTGACTCTCGCTAGTGACTTGCTACAGGATGGAGTTTCTTAAAGTTCTAGTGAGAAGTCGTGACCAGTGAGGTCCATCCAGATGTCACGTGCGAGGATGGATGTCCCACCAACGACAACGGTTGATGTCGCGCTAAAACAGATCACGAATTGGTAGAAGTTAGAATTCATGGGCTGGTCATTGACTGAATCGGGTCTCAGTGGCTGAATGGTATACGAGCTTGCCTTGTAACCAGAAGGTCCTGGGTTCGAACCCCACTCTCTGAGTGCGTACTGCCGATGATTGCCAGACTAGGATGACACAGCTGTCCAGTACTCCCTGTGGCTGGTTTTCAATGGTTCTCTAGCTGATATCAATGCGTGATCAACTCGTAAAAACAAAATTAACCCATACAAACCAAACTATAGAAATTAATCTTCAATTATTATTATTAGTAGTATTATTTTGTTTCACTGAGTATCATTAGGCATCATTCTGTTTTGATTGTAATTTAGCAGCAGTGGATGCTCACAAAATTCAACAGGTCTCATCATCTCTTACTTTGTTGTTTCTTTCCAACATCTCACTAGTGAGTGTTTGTGACAAAAACACCTGACTTACAGAAGGCTAAAATTATTTTGTCAAAAACGACAAGAAAAGCACAACAACAACAACAACAACATTAACTCTATCCCATGGCATACACTGAAGGTGGTAAACAATTCACTGAATCTCAGGAGAGAAAGAAATTCTGCTTCTTTTGCTTCTTCTTCAACTTGTTTTCAAAATGTCAATCTATTGAGGTACGTGTGAATTAGCAAGCATAAGAAACCATAGAGATAATATATATAAATATATATATGTATATAGTCTTGATTTTTATTATTATCATTATTTGAATAAAAAAACAACAACACGAATCTCAATCTGTTGAAAGTGATGTGCCATAAAAAATCACATGATATATGCGGTTAGAGTCTTATGATTTATGAAATATAGAAATAATTTTTTTGTTTTAAAAAGAAGCATGGATGAAAAAAAGCAAACAAAACAAAATGAAGTGTAGAAAAAATCAAGTTAAAAAAAGGCTTAGTGTTAAACAATCAAGACATTTTTCTTTTTAGTTATATTCTAGTACTTAACCATTGAGCATATTCTTCAATTATGTTATAACGTTCACAACGTGTAATAATACTTCTGGGTAGTACACCGTAATTATCATTTACTGGAACACCGATATAAGCACCAGCCAGTGCAGTAGCCATACAACCGATTGAATCTGTGTCACCACCAAGTCCAATGGCATAGATTACACAACGAAGAAGAACTGACTGGAAAAGAAATAAGTTAGAGAAAGTCATTATGCTACAAGATATATATTATGGTGGGAGCTGGCTGCGAACAAGTCCGTCAAAATTATAGACAACAATTTACGTCAATGTTTACGTCCCAAATCAGGGTTATGGAAAAAAAAACAATGACCAAGCTTAACCTTGGGAAAATCACCAACCAATCACAGCGGAGTTAATGTGTGGAAATATGATTCGCAGATATATGACTTTATTTTCTGAGAAACGTTCACAAAAACAATAACAGAATAACCTTCAGCAGGAAAACAACCAATCAGAGGATGTTTCTTCCCCGCTGACAATGACGCATATAAAAACCTATAAATATCTCTTGATTTTCTCAATAAACAATCTGTTGTGTAGGCTGTGTCTTCCGTCGTTACAGATATATATCTTATGACGAAAAATATTAACAAATGAAAAAATAAATAAGTAGAAGCATATTGTAATCATTCCGTTGACTGACGACGAATTTTGTATGGAGTTTTGTGAGGCTTTTATTTTTGATTATTGACGTTTGGTTTTGTCTTTACCACATCTTTACCACTAACTTCTTAATGAAGTCGTCGGAAAGAAAGCATCAGTCATCTGGGGTTCTAGTGGGAAGTCGTGACCAGTAGGGTGCAGCAGGTCGGGTGTGAGAACAAATACTCGCCGAAGACATTGGCTAGGGGTCGCGCTATGTCGTGAATTGGCAGAAGTTAGAATTCATGGGCTGGCCATTGGATCGGGTCCCAGTGGCTTAATGGTATACGAGCTCGCCTTGTAACCAGAAGGTCCTGGGTTCGAATCCCGGTGGGTGCCTACTGATGAAGAGTCCCAAACTAGGACGAAACGGCTGTCCAGTACTCCCAGGTTTTCCAATAGCTTTCTAAATAATGTCAGCTCATGATGAAATCCTGTAACTAATCAAATCCCTACAAACCAACACTTGAGTATCAGTCAATTCTGGTGACATGGCTCCAAACCGTTTGCTGCGGTCAAAGTGTGTTCACACTTTAAATCCTTGGCAGTTTTATGTATTTTGATCAATATTCACTAAAAGATTATCTTTCCTACACTCATATTTATCTACTGTAGTATATATATTACAGTGTTTCGTTTATCAAAGTGCAGCAGGCTTAACTAACGTGCTTCTGAGCAAACTTTCAACTTGATTTATTGCACCATCTACTTGATCATAATTGTGTTATTCGTATTAAAGATATATGTCTTGATGTCAATCAGGTAAATTTCAGTTACAAGGTAAACCATTCATCCCTCTGAAGTCAGTTTTTGGAAATCTGCTGCTGCTGTTGCACTCAGCATTGAAGAACAAGACTGGAATTTTCAACACCATTGCTAAGTCAGTTCTTCTATAAGGGCCCCATGCTTGGTGAGCCACGAAAAAAATTACCAACAATCAGCTGAAAACTTTTATCAACAGCTGCCTTCGCTGACTCCATACTAAAGATCAGATGACCAGCTAGAGAGGATTAGCAGCAAAACAACTCTGGGAACGAATCAACCAAGAACATATTGCTCAATGAATGTTCCGAAGGAAATGTAGGTGGATTGGACATACGCTGAGGAGACTGTTGAGTGACATCTGGTGTCCAAGCCATTGCTCGAGTGGAACCCAAGTGAGAAATGGCAAGTTGGGCGTCTAAAGGTGACGTGGAGGAGATGAGACCTTATGGACAGTCATGGAGTCAGGCTAAAGAGGACTGCAGAGAACAGACTAAAGTGGAGATGTGCTGCAGAAGCCCTACATTCCACTCGGATGGCAAGAAATGAGGAAAAATAATGTAATTTTGCAAGCCAACCAGTGATATCAGGTGTACATCGGCAGGGGATCGAATCCCGGACCATGTAAATGGTCGACGAGAATCCTAACCGCTGTGCCACCGACGCACATAAACAATCAACATTTCTAAGAATTGAACATAAATTATTTTTCAAAGCAAAAATTGAAAATAAAATCAACATTTTTCAAGAAGTTGGTCTGTAGGGATTTGATTTATTTCACCGCCGATTGATATCAGTTAGGGAACCATTGAAAACCAGGGCCTACTGGACCGCTGTTTCGTCTTTGTCTGTGACTCATCGGGAATACGCAACCGTCGGCTCTCGAACCCTGGACCTTCCGGTCACAAAACGAGCTCGTAAGCCATTCCGCCACTGGGACCCGATTCAATGTCCTGTGAATTCCAACTCCTACCAATTTTTGATTTTACCACGACCACAAGCCAATATCATTGGCGAGTATTTGTCTTCATTGTGAATCCACTGGTCATTGAATCGATTCCCAGTGGCTGAATGGTCTACGAGTTTGCCTTGTAACCGGAAGGTTCTGGGTTCGACAGCTAGTGGGTGAGTACTCCTGATGAGTCACAAGATAAGACGAAACAGCTGTCCAGTACTCATTGTTTTCAATGGTTCCCTAACTGATATCAATCCGTGGTCAAAATTTAAAAAAATCGACAGTTTTGTTAACGTAGAGTAGCATAAGAAAAAAGCAAAACAATCTCTTACATCAAAGTTGATACCAGGTATAGGAGTTAAACTACGTAAAAATACATAGATTGCAGTTGGTACAGAGTTGATAGCTTCCAAATTATTACCTATGAAATAAAAACAGAAATGAAACATAAACATAAGTTTCATTTAAAAGATACTTTAAAAGATTATTTTATTTAATGACTGATGGAGTTTAATTAATTCTGAAAGCTGACAAAACAAATGTCATTCTGATTAGAAGTAATAATTTATGATGGGGATATAAAACATTGGTGAAAATAAACGTCAGAAAGATACAATCACTACACCGAACCGTAAAGTGCTCATTATCTTGAATAAAACAAGAAGTTTAGTCGCTAACTGACTTCAAGTTGGAGAACCATTAAAAACCACAGAGTCCTGGACAACTATTTCGACCTTGCTTGAGGAGTGGAGGAGTGAACAAACAAAAAAAGCAAACAAACAGACGAAACAGCTATCCAGTACTCCATAGGTCTTAAATGGTTTCCTCAACTGAAATCAGTTATTGATCAAACTTCAAATCAATCAATTCTCTGTAAACCAACAATTGAAAACAAGAAGTGGCTTCCCCTGGCACTGCAACTGGCATTACAATGCCTTTATAACTGATACCATATAAAAATGAACAGGGCATTATTTTGGAGGCATATATGCACATAGCTTTTGTCCTACAGACACGTTAACTGGTCTGTATATCAGTGGTTCCTAGAACCATAAATAGAAAATTGCAGAGAAATCACAGAAATTCCCTTAACACACGGATTCAAACAAGCCCTTCTGCTTGAATATTGAAAGAAATATCACTGTTTTGCATAATTCATAGGATTTTGTTTAATTTTGTGTAACGGGAAACTATGTAAATCAACGGTAGCTAAGTATTTCACATTAACGTAAAATGAAATAGCATCCAAACGTGCAGCGAAAAAAACAAGACATCCAACTGTTGAAAAGAAGAAAGTGTTTATTTCTCTCATGTTCAAAGAAGAAGCAGTACCACAAAAGATTGACAAGAGAATGAAAGGAACAATAAAAATATGCTTCACTGCAGTACCACATGATCTATAAGCCACTCTAAACTGGATAAATACCCTGCTAATGTCACCTCCAATTGCCTATGTAAATTAACGTGCACTTACGGAAGCAAGTACATTGGAAAGAGAAAAAAAAAGAAGAGCTTCTATCCAGCTTTCTGAGCATATCACAAGTAATGTATGCCTAAAAAGGAAGCAGATATTTGCAAAGAGCAATTACCAGACACCTTGTGGATACGAGTCATTCCTTTGAGATTTCCAAAACCTTCAAAATATTAAACATACGAAGGACAGAAAACTTACTACGATTTGCTGAAGTAATTACAATCAAGCGTTTCAAACCAAACTTATGCATACAGAAAGAGAGTGTAGTCAATCTCTCACTCCCTTGGTAACTGTATTACTTTGATTACACTGATTAGTCATCCATATTAGTGATTTCAGCTCACTGAGCAAGTTTTCCATCTTATGAACTATAACCTTCTTGAGTTGCTATGTGAACTTACAAGTTAACACTGTCTACTGGATTTTTCTGTTTTCTATCTTCTCCAGCCTCCCCCCAACCTACTTTTCTATTTTGAAAGCATATAAACTGATGGTAACTTTAAGTTAAAATTGTAACACTTATATTTCGAATCCGTTAATTTTATAATGGGTCGTCGGTGGCACAGCGGTTAGGACGCTGGCCGACCATGCACATGGCCCGGAGTTCGATCCCCGACCGACGCACTCCTTCACCTCTTTAAGCCAGTAATTAGACTGGTAAAGAGGGAAGGTCGGGCATGAGGCTAGCAACCCCATCCTGTGAAAATAAACACCACTGCTACAGAAACTTCAAGCCTCTAGCTTGGAGTCCTATGTTCTACTGGGAACGTGAAGGAATAAGAAAAAAATAATTTCATATGTGTTTTCTCAAACCCTGAAGTATGTCATTGGCATTATTTATAACCATTGTAATTTCAGGTAGTTCGCAGTTAGCTGATGAGAACCTGTGAAATAGAATGTGATGGTATCATTTTATACTGCAAATTTGGTCTTTCTTTCTTTCTTTCTTCATCAAAAAGTAGCATATAGCTATACTACTCTATTACAGTGAGGAAGTTACACTGTTATGTAATGACAATATTGTTGTCATACAAGAAAGACGTTGTAACATCTTGCAGTTTTTGTACAATAACACTAGGTTATCTGAATGTGCGTCGGTGGCACAGCGGTTAGGACTCTCGCCGACCATGCAAATGGTCCGGGGTTCGATCGCCTGCCGACGCACACCCGATATCAATGGTCGGCCTGCAAAATTTGGGCTACCGATATCACATGCTGAAAATTCCTGGACAGTTAAACAAGAAACGGGTGAATTCCACATTGCTATCCTACTTTAGATTGAACATATCAAAATAAGTGATTTGACCGAGAAAAATGATATATATATATATATATATGCAAAAGTTTGACACAAATCAAGCCGGTGAAGGATGACAATGGAAAGTCAATCACCAAAGAAGTGGAGCAAAGGAAACACTGGGCTGAACACTTCGAAAGACTCCTAAATCGACCACCACCTACAACGCACCCAACAATACCAACGACGGAGTCAGAGCTACCAACCCCCAACGACATCAGCAGTCCTGAAGGCAATCAAGATGCTAAAAGCTGGAAAAGCAACAGGACCAGATGGAATCCCAGCAGAAGCGTTGAAAATGGACCCAGAGACAACAGCGGACTTGATGACGCCACTACTGGAGAAGGTGTGGAAAGAAGGCAAAGTACCCGAGGATTGGAAGAAAGGCTACTTATTCAAACTGCAAAAGAAAGGAGACCTAAGTCAATGCAAGAACTGGCGCGGAATTATGCTCCTGTCCATCACAAGCAAAATACTAAGCCGCATCATCCTGGAGAGAATCAAACATGCCCTGGATGAAAAAATCTGACCGGAACAGACTGGATTCAGGAGAAACAAGTCATACATCGATCAAACCGCAACACTGCAGATCAACATTAAACAGAGCTTGGAATGGCAGTCATCCATCTTTCTCAAATTCATTGACTTTGAAAAGGCTTTCGACAGCGTCGATCGAGGTGATTCGGTAACTACTTGGCTACTACCAACGAGTGCCGCCAACAATTATACATCTCATCCAACAGTTGTATGACAATGCTGCATTCCAAGTAATCCACAACGGGAAACTCACGGAATCCTTCGAAGTCAGGACAGGAGTAAGACAAGGCTGCCTACTATCGCCAATGATTTTCTTGATTCAGACAAACAGCGGGCAATGAGGAAACAGGCATAAAATGGACTCACACAAAAAACTTGGAGGATCTGGACTTCGCCGATGATATATGTCTGATTTCCCACAAACTGGAAGATATGCAAGCGAAAAGCAACAAGTTGGCAGAAGAAGCATCAAAGATAGGACTCCAGGTGAACATAGAGAAAACGGAGGTGATGAAGATTCCTGGCCAACACCAACAGCCACAGCAACAACAACAGACAGCAATCAGCATAAATGGAAGGAACCTGAAAGAAACTACCTCCTTTACCTACCTGGGAAGCATCCTTTCAACTACAGGCGGACGGAACTGGCGAGGATACCAAAGCGAGGATTGGGAAAGCAAGACAAGCGTTCGCTACTCCTAAGTCTGTGTGGAGGTCAACAGCACTCAGCTTGAAAAACAAGATTCGGATTTTCAACACCTATGTGATGTCAGTGCTACTAAATGGATCAGCGACTTGGCGCGTCATAAAGAGCACCTCAAACAACCTACAGAACTTCATCAACAGCTGTCTTCGCTCAATACTACTGAAGATCAGATAACCGGCCATAAAAGATCAGTAACAGAGATCTCTGGCAATGAGCGAACCAACCAAGAACCGATTGTGAAACAAATAGGCAGGAAGAAATCGAGATGGATTGGCCATACTCTGAGGAAACCATCAAGTGACATCACTAGACAAGCCATCGCTCGAGTGGAACCCGAAAGGGAAGCGGCGAGTTGATCGTCAGTGCAAAAGTGACTTGGAGGAGGTCATGTGAAGAGGAGATGAAAACGTGTGGGCAGACATGGAGCCAGGTGAAGACTCTAGGAGAGAACCGAACTCAATGGAGACGCGCGGCTGAAGCCCTATGTTCCTCTAGGAATTAAAGGATACAATAATAATAATAATAATAATAATAATAATAATAATAATAATAATAATATATGCTTACCTAAACGACCAACAACATCTTTGATTGAAGGCTCTGTTCCAGCTGAAAGCAAATACTTTACATGTTCGAATCTTTCTCTGTATGCCTCAAGCGCTTGTCTCCACATAGGAATTTTGAAGTTAACAAACGAGTATTCAGTCCTCTCAAGTCTTTGTAATAAATAGTCAACAAATTTAAACGGATCCAATTTAATACGATCACAGGCTAGAAAGAAAATCTTTCGAACTGCATAGGCTTGTATAAGTGCACCACAGACAGCCAAAGGGTGAGTATGCGTTAGACGAGTAACATCAACAATAAATCTCTAAAAAATATAGTGTAAAATAAAAAAAAGTAAGGGGAGGACTATTCAATGAATACTTTTTCAAATTCAGAGAAGATAAAATTGTTAATATTAGTGGATAGTTGGTCTATTTCAGATGGAGACAATACATTTGCCTTATTTGAATGGAATAAACTTCTGTCTGTATTCATTCAGGAAATTACTGCGACATGTACTTATACGCACAACTTTACTCTATAAAAGGTATTTTTGTGAAGTTGATATAAGAGTAAAACTTGTGCACTGTGGTAGAGTATAATTCCATTAAGGATAAAATTTATTTTAATAAATTTTCACAGTGTTATACAGTAATATTTACTGACGTTTCGAGCACAATTTATTACTCGTAATCCTATCACGGTTATATCACATCACCTTGATATGATCCCGACCGATAGCTGCTACCCTGACGTGGTGGTCGGGCTTGCATATCGCAATGACCCAACAAGCTACACTGGCTGGAACTATTGTTCCTGCAGGTCCTACCATGCCAGGAAGGTTGTTAGGATAGCGATTGGTCTAAAAGCAGCTAGCGGTATAGTGTAAGAATTCTGTGGACGAAGTCGTACTGCTGGGGAACAGGGATGTAACGGCAGTGAGGTGTTTCCCTCAGATGACCAGCATGCCAGCCAACCATGCTGTCTCTCCACTCTGGAGAGAGGGGGTTAGAAAAGGTCGACCCCGACAATTGTGCATCCCGACTTAACCTACGGTGGTCCGTAACCGGCGGTAAGTTTACTAATATGGAACCAAACCAAGAAACCAGTTTATACAGGCCGTGTGTAACCGGCCTCAAGCAGTTGTCCTCTGGGCTCTGGGGTAATGCAACACTAACCCTCTTTCTGTTTCAGGCACCCGAGGAATCAACCAATTTCCACGGTGTGGGCAGCTGGGAAGTAACAGCCGCCCACACACCTCGAAGAGCACACGAAGCACCCGCCTCCCGAGCATCATTCTGTTTGATATGATGATTATGAGCAATAAATTGTGCTCGCAACGTCATCAGTAAATATTACTGTATAACACTGTAAGACTTCATCAAAATAAATTTTACCCATAATATAATTATTTTTGTAAAGATAGACTGAAACGCTGCTAGTTTATTTCTGGGGCATAAGTGAAGTTAAAGTGAAGGAGATGCCTAAAATCTTATTTTCACTAGCTAATTTCACTGATAATTTTTTCTTTACAAACAGTTAAGAATTTCGAATAAATATGCATTATTTGAACCATGAAATAATATTCTCCCCACACAGTTTTTGAATCTGCTGGTAATTGTAAATTATTATTATCATTATTTTTCCATTGCTTTGCATTCTGAGCGGGAAATAGGGCTTCAAGCTTGCGCCATGAAGTTTCAGTAGCGGTGGTATTTTTCATGGGGTGGAGTTGCCCAACCTTCCCTCTTTATCAGGTTTACTATCAGCTTAGAGACGTTTAGGTGTGCGTCGACCAAGGATCGAACCCCGGACCACATGTGATGTGATTGATATAACCAGTCTTTATACTAATATACCAGTCAATATGGCCTTAGAAGCAGTTAAAAAAGAACTAACTGCGGATACTGAACTCAATCATAGGACATAGCTGTCCATTGAAGAAATTATTTTAGGGATTCAGCTATGCCTCACATCTACTATCTTTAGATTCCAAGGCAAAATATATAGACAAACTGAAGGTGTAGCAATGGGATCACCAATATCCCCTATCGTAGCAGATATATTTATGGATAGCTGGGAAAATATGGCACTTAATACGTTTAATCCTACTCCAAAAATATGGTGGAGATATGTGGATGACACTTTCACAGTGTTAAAAACAGAACATATCTCTAGCTTCTTGACACACATAAACTCACGGGTGGAGGGAATAAAATTCACATTTGAAACCGAAAATGAGCAAGGAGAATTAGCTATGTTAGATTGTAAAATAAAACGAATAGAAGAAGGCAAACTACACACTAGTGTTTATAGAAAACCAACGCATTCTAATAGATATTTAGACTTTAATTCATCTAATCCATTGTCCGTTTGTGAAGGCAGGCTTAGTTAAGTGTTTAACAAACCGAGCAATAGCACTAAGTAGCACAAAAAAGACCTAAATGATGAAATAAAACAGATAGAAGAGGCGTTGGTTCTAAATAACTATCCTCTAAAATTCATTAGGAAGATTGAAAAACGCCAAAAGAAAAGTAAAAAGAATTGTGAAACTAGTAATAATAACATAAATAAGAGAGAATATAAGTCATCTACAGTTATACCATATAAAGAGGGGACATCTGAGACCCTACGTAGGATTCTAAATAAAGCAGGAATTAAGGTGGCATTTAAACCTACAAACTCACTCAGGGACAAGCTCTGTAGGTTAAAGGACCCAGTGGACCCAATTAGACAAAATAATATAATATACAAAATACCCTGCAATGACTGTGAGGTCAACTACATAGGTCAAACTTGTAGGTCAGGGGTAGTCAGATTGTCAGAACATAAGAATTTAGCTAAGGTAAGAATGGTTGACCCAGAGAAGATAAGTAATTTAGAAAAAAGCTCGGCAATTGCAATGCATGCATTAACACACAACCACACAATAGGGTGGGAGAGGGTTAAAATTCTAAAAAGTAATCTAGGTAGGTGGAGAGAGAGGTTGATTACTGAATCCTTTTTCATCGAGTCTACACCCAACACATGCAACAGAAATGACTCAATGCAAATACCAGAAATATGGAAGATATTACTCCCACCAGTCAGTCAAATCAGAGGAGGATAATATATAATCTCAAAATTCTATTTCAATTCACGTACATCACAACATTCTAACAAGTTGCTTATTATGACTATAAAAAACACTCGTTCTATTTCCCATTTGATTGTAATCGATTAATAACACTCGTACTATTATTTCTGAATGTACATTATCCTATATTGACTGTTATTTAAATATCTAGTCAATTTCACACATATATATAAATGAAGGAAGAAGTTGTGTGAGTAACGTGATGTGATTATGAGCAATAAATTGTGCTCGAAACGTCATCAGTAAATATTACTGTATAACACTGTGAGACTCTATCAAAATAAAATTTACCCATAATGGAATTACACTCTACCACAGTGCCCAAGTTTTATTCTTATATCAATGTTATCTAACCCACTATATATCATTCTGAAGAAACGAGTGAAGTAAGCTGAATTCCAATAACTGTGTTACACTGAAATTGAAAAATGAGCCTCAATTCTCTGTGATTTTTTTTGAAAAAAAAATCAGATACACTGTGCATGGATTTGTTTTCAGCAAGCTCATTTTCGATAACTCAACTGTCTGTAAAATAAACCAACAAATTGGATATGTCCCGCACACTTCCTCGTTGCATGAATTTCAAAGTCATGCAAACGTTCCCTCCCCCAACAACTGATATTTACAAACTTTAGTAGTGTTTCTCAGTTGTGTCATTCAAATTACCTAAAATAAAATTAAATTGTAAGTATTTAATTGGTGGATGGTGACTAGCAGTGGAATCCAGGAAGTGCATTTCGTCCTATTTGGGACTAGTCATCTGGATGTACCTGCATTTCCCAGTGAGTGATGATGTTCCCACCGAGGCTCGAACCCAGTGCCCATAGTTTCAAACGCCGAAGCGTTATCCACAAGACCACTTGGGCCACAAGAGCCACCTCTCGTGCAACGGGTCATGTTAGTTTAATTGAATTGGACCGAAGTGCTCGGTCTCAGGTTGACATGTCGGCTTCTTGTGCAGATGCTTCGACGATGTCTGGGCATTTAATCTAAAATTAAATTATAAGTCTCTCAAAAAAAGTCGTGGCTGCTTAACTTAGAAAAGAATTATGATTGACCGCATTTGTACAACTTTCGAAGATGAATTACAATGCCTGGCAAACAAAATATCTACAGCTCAAAAAATATAATAAAAACAGTAACCAAAAGCTGATTTACTTCAAGATCGTATTCAGAAAACCTCAAGGCATAAAGTGCTGCAGGTGCAGCTCTCATAGCCCCGCCATTACCGTATGATCCTGTCCCGTCAAACAGTTCTGCAGCATACTTATAAGGGTCCTTGTAGTTGGCTTTCTTCATTGAAGTAAAAATACGTCCTATAGTTCCGCCATAGTATCTATGCGCTCCATCTTCAAAATAATCCGTTGCAAACCTTGAAAATATGGAAGTTGTAGTAATTTTAAGCATTTCACAAATAGTACAACAGAAAATAAGTCACAAAGGATTAGTCTGAATTACTGTAGTAAAAAATCAATTAGTAAATCCCAATCACATAATATAAGCTGTGTGAATTACGCGATAAGATACATTCACTTTGGCTACTTATTCAGTTCAGCACATAATGCAGTGTGAAATGAGGAGGCACAGGGAAATTACTCAAAGGTAAGAGCAAATATGCACACGAAGTAAAAAAAACCACTACTTACTTCTACAACATGTACATGGGAAGCAACAGGCTGTAGCGGAATTTCTCAGTAACACTAAATTAAACAGCTTGGTACGTTTACATAACTTAATCATAGTATTAAAAGGAAATTAACACATGTCACTAGCACTGTTGTGCCCTCCGAGTTGCATGGTTTAATTCCAAAGCGCCTACTTCAGTGCAAAGTCAGCTTCCTGAATTCTTCATGAATGATATTAATGTCCCTTCTTATGGCCTTAACTGTGATCAGTTGTCTTCAGAGGTCATATCCTTGTGTTAACTAGCGTTGATATTGATAGTCTCCTTAACCTATCTGCTATATAACTTCCTCCCTATCGATCGATAAATTTGATGTATGTTTGAACATGTCTATTGAATCAGATTGACGCGAATATCAGGTTTATAGGAATTCTCTGGCATTCTTATTACTTCGTTTGAGTGAAAGCACCACATTTTCCTAATCAAACTGGTACCTGTCGTCGTCCACATTCATTAATATGAAGGAATGTATCAAGTCTTTTAACCACTGGTTCATGTGTTTGAATCCGAAGGCAAGGGTGACCTCCACTTTGGACAACACCGTATTTTTCATAGTTGATACAACTAATCTTTTAGATGGTGCCGCATCTGTCTTCCTTAGCTGTTGGCTCATTTTGATCCACATAGTATTGAATGAAGGGATTGTGTTCAACTGCAGGCGATATAAATTTCAAGAAGTTTCAGCCCATTAGCAGTGATTACAGAGATGTTCTTCATTTATGGCTGTTCAAAAGACATGACATACATTCTTTCATATCAATGAATTTGGACGACTACAGATACTAATTCGACTCAGAAAATGTAGTACTTTTACTCAGAGAAAGTATTCAGTGTGCTGGAGAATTCCTAGAAAGCCTGACATTTGGGTCAATCTGAGCTCAACAGGCATGTGGACATAAATCAGACTTATCAGTCGGCAGAGAAGTCATATGGCAGATAGGTTAAGAAAACTATCGATACCACTAAAAGTGAACACAACGGATGAGGAAACCTCTGAAGACAAGCGATCACAGTGAACATCACCAGGGTGGGATAGTTACGTCATACATAGAGCTGATTTCCAGAAGCATAATGAAAGCTTAGCAATCAAACCATCCATCTCAAAAAATACCGAAAACATTCACCGGAGAAACAAGAACGTTTCTATCATTTTAAAGTCCTACGAGATTTACACGAGTGTCTTTAATATGGAACAATATTTTTTTAATTTACTTCACGTTCCCCAGTGGAACATATGGCTTCAAGCTAGTGGCTTGAAGTTTCTGTAGCAGTGCTTATTTTACAGGATGGGGTTACTAGCCTCATGCCCAACCTTTCTTCTTCACCAGCGTTATTTCTGGCTTAGCGAGGTAAAGGAGTGCGTCGACCGGGGATCGAACCCCGGACCATGTGCACGGTCGACGAGCGTCCTAACCACTATGTCACCGACGCACCGACAATATACTTATAGAAAAAATTGGCCATATTCCGAATAACCCCTTTACTTTGTCAAGGTCTTAACAACTTCGGATATTCCAGAGAGAATCATTTTTCGTATGGTTGCAAATGAGATCTTGTGAAAAATCCTAAGAAGTTACATGTCAAAACGGATATATATATATGCATTATTTAGAAAAAAACTGCTAATTAAACATGCTTGAATACTAACAGCTAGTGGGAACTAAGGAACTCCTCCTCGAGACAGAGAAAAGAGCGCAGATATGGGGAACCGGCTTTTCCACTGCTGACAGTGTTGTCCCGTGTCACAAGTTTGAGGATAAACTTGTCAAACTACAAACTATCATGAAAGTATTTATGGCAAGCTAGTTTATCAAACGCGTCGGTGGCATAGTGGTTAGAACGCTCGCCGACCAGGCACATGGTCCGGGGTTCGATCCCCGGCCGACGCACTCCTTTACCTCGCTAGCCAGAAATAACGCTGGTGAAGAGGAAAGGTTGGGCATGAGGCTAGCAACCCCATCCTGTAAAATAAACACTGCTACAGAAACTTCAAGCCACTAGCTTGAAGCTCTATGTTCCAATGGGGAACGTGAAGGAAATAAAAAAAGTTTATCAAACATTTTCTGCTTCAGCCTCCAAAAAGTGAGGGTGAGTCATCAATGAGAAAAAATGGATTCCAAACAATCGCGTGTCATTTTAGTACATCAAAACCTATAAAAACTAAAAGCTATTCAAACTTACTCTCTCGCCAAATGTTCAGGATTATAACCATTCTGAGATCTAACGGAGCGTAGGATTGCAAGACCCATTTGAGTATCATCAGTGTATATTAACATCTTATTATCAGCTAAGAATGTAAATTATAAATACAAAATCTCTACATACCACCGCTAAGAGTCTTGTGAAACAACTGAGAAGCAATGTCAAACGTTGTTGTTGGCTTGTCTTCAAAAACATAGCCATAACAATCACCTATTAAACCACCAAGCAGGACGCCACGACTGAAAGATAGATTTGTCAAAGCCATGTCAAATTAGCAGTTGGATTATAAGAAGCTGGTAGGTATGTAACCCTTGTTGAAAACTTTCTGTTGGTTTATACTATTCCAGTGAATTTGAAACCCCGTCTTACTTTTCTGTCTTTAAGTTAAGAAAACGACTGTGTAAACGAAGTTTTGGTGATGTTTGTTAGTTAAATATCTTCCCTGATACCCAGTATGTAGAGGTACCTAAAGGTAAGAAAATTACTACAGTTTTAATGAACAATTATAAAAAAACCCAATTATGTAGGGAAAACAAAGAAGTAATAAGTGGAAGATTGACAAGAGTATTAACTGAATACATTTTCTGGGAAGAATTTGAGGACGAACAAATAACTAGCAAAGCAGGCTATGTAATCTGCCACCACAACTTTCTCTTCATAAACTTTACTGAAAATCTGTGCATTTCATTTGATGAAGTTACTCATGAACCATGTTGTGTTGGACAGAATCTAAACATGACCTGATCCTTCAGTGTACTGATCTAAGGACGTAGTTACTTCAAAGTCAGCTGTGAGTTGGTAGTAGCATTTTCTGCTGATTATTCAACTGGCATTTGACCCATCCAATTAACAGAACATCTCAGGTACACTAAATTTCATTACCGTTCATAAATTTTCTAAAGTGTCGATTCTTGATGAGTAATGTATTCAACCATGAAAAAATTACACAATCAGCATTATAACCAGACGTACGCGATTTACGCAGAAAATAAATGACCACATATTTAACAACAAAACCCAATGCTGGGATGAAATATCCACTGTAGACCAACGAAATCCTTCAGCATGAGGAATATACATTCTACATAAAGAATGGTTCAGAATATTCCTGCTTTCATTGGGTCACGGACAGCATATCATTATTTAACAGCAAATTCAGACTTAAAAATGTTAGATGACACAATTTTTACTGGAATCCCAAAAGTTGTTTATAATCTTACAAATATTTTGGGTTAGGTCTGAAGAGAGTCACCTACCTTTACTTAAAATGTGACCAGACGTGCAATAGTTCACGTAATGGTCACATGTAGTCCATACTTCCCTCCTCTTAAATATTACACGTAACAATATTTCACTTAATCAGCATTTAATTAGAGTGTGCAGAGGTTTAGATATTGACTTCAGATTCAATGTATCTCTTCATGTCCTCAACACACATGAAGAGAGCAAGGCATGAATGTACCGTTTTACCACCAGTTATCAACGGAGATTAGTCACTCACTCTAGAACATGTACGTGAAGGAATGATTTAATACGTCTCTCAAATCTGGATAAAAATATAGTTGCGAATGCATTATATACCCAGCTTACAAAAAATTCAAATCACAATATTGCGAGAATCTGGTGAGAAAAAATACCTTATTATCGTAATGATATTTACTCTGAAACATGACACTATATTCAGTCTTCAAAATATTGACAGGTGAATTCATTCAGATTACTGACATAAATGTATCATAGCTTCATATAAATGTATTCACACGTATCATTATTCAATTAATGGAAGAATTTGAAGAGGAGAGGGTGGATGAAGGTCAAGAACAAAACCTGCCTAAGTTCATTGCTTTTAGTAGGAATTTAACTTGTTGAAAAAGTTCATAGGTTTGGCCAATGGTGCCAGCTTATGACACTGGTTTAGGAATTATCACAACAATTTTTTTCAAAGATACAGAATTTATCCGAAAGTATATCAGAAAGAGACTACACTTCATCGTTGGGATCAGTGTGACAAAATTAGGAATACCAATTTACCAGAACTGATCTCATTTAACAATAACAATTCAAAGGCACTCAGTGAACTAACGATTGTACATATACATATCTTTGGCGAGTAATCTGAGGCCAGATAGATTCTGGATGGTATATTGCTATTCTCACATGGTGTCCTGTACAAAGTGTCTGAAACACCCAAGCTTACAACAATTCTAAACTTATTCTAACCTATGCGTCAATAATGCCTTTTTATGGTAAATGAAAATTTATATGTGACACGCCTGCTCGTTCTAATGTAAAACAAACCGTCGGTCACAATGGAAAAACAGGTTGTGATAAATGTGAAGTTGTAGGTTGTCGTTTGGAGGGTAGGATGACATTTCCTAATGGGAACCAGACACTTAGAAATGATAGAACATTCCGTGGTCAAGTTCAATTAAGCCACCATCGGGGCAGAAGCTGCCTTGAGGAATTGCCACTTGACATGGTAAAGTCATTTCCCTTAGAGCCAATGCATCTAATATACCTTGGTATTGTTAAGAAGTTGGTGTTCCTTTGGCTGGGTCTTGCAGCACGGCGAGAGAAGCAGATGGATAGTAAGGTTATTGCAGATATTAATAACGGACTGCAAGGAAGTAGAAAACACATTCCTTCTGATTTTCAGAGGAAATGTCGGTCCTTAGATGACCTTAGCCAATGGAAAGCAACTGAGTGTAGACTTTTCCTACTATATTTGGGTCCTGTCCTACTCAGGAACACTCTGCCGTGCCACCTGTACGCTAATTTCAGGAGATTATCCCTGGCAGTATACTTACTTTCGAGTACCAAATACAGCCGACTGTTTTTGGATGCTGCTCGGACAGATTTGAGTAATTTCTTACTGCAATATGAGAATTGTTTCGGAAGTGAACATATTGTTTACAATATACATTCTCTAAAACATATAGCGGATGACGTTGAGCTGCATGGGCCACTAGAAGAATTCAGCGCATTTCCCTTCGAATCCTATATGCGCAAGATAAGGCAGTCCGTGCACTGTGGTTACACTGTGGCTAAGCAGGCAGCTCAGCGCTATGTTGAACACGTGTACTTAATGAAAAGTACAGGTGTGAAGCATGTACCTAAAGAAGCTGGTAATAGGTGTATTGAATTCAGCAAGGGAAAGCTGACGTATCGGAATACCATATTCACATCTTATTCTCCGGACAACGTCATCTTAGCCTTAGGTAAACCAGGGAATATAGTTGAAATGGAAAGTGAAGATAGGATCCGCTTTCGACCCTACAGTGATTATAGTGATGATTTTACGACACCGTTTAAGTCAAGGAATTTAGGGATATTTAGATGTTCGAAATTCAGTCACGAAACACATTGGATATCCTATGTGAATATTGTCTGCAAGTGCATGACTGTTCCAACAACCAATGACGAAGTAGTCATCCCCCTGCTTCATACTTTTAATTGAAGGTACTGTGCCGTAATTTTTTGCTTGAACTGTTGATATGTAATTCGTCTAAGTTTTTTTGTGACATCTATTTGTCGTCAAGTCCGAACATCTACCTTTAACTGGTTAATGTTGTTGGTCAAACTGAAGTTCATTTGACAGTTTATTCCAAGTTTTTGAGATATAGGTATATCCATGCTGTTATTCATTTTAAGCAACCTGATACAGATAAAGTAACAGTCGTATTTCCACTTCATTACATATCCTTTCGCAGAATTCTACACCAATCAGATATCTCGTCATCCGTTCGCTAGAAGATGACACTGTAGTCGCCATCCCAAACACCTGGGTTGTGCGTAGTGGTTTATGTGCGTACAGCAGCACAGCAAACCATCTAGAGCCTATGTGTACCGGGACTGGATGGTCAGTGTTTCATTTCCGTCAACTACTGGAATTTGGTAAGTTGGCATATTTCATTATCACCCTTCTAGATACTTATGATAATTGTAAAAAGTGTGTAGAGTTTTTGAGAAGCAATGATGAAGGCTCCAAGAAGGCAGACTTGGACGATGATACGTTGCCAATGCCTAGTAAGAGACCAAAATGGTAGGTGCCATTTTCTGTCTAACGTATTTTTCAGGGATGCCAAGAAATTAGAGAAGAATTTCCTTTACAACTCAATGGATATTGATGTGGCCGCCAGTGAAGTTGGTTGCATCAAACCACAATATCCAGATTACAATATATTTGATGACTTCATAGCCCAAATCCCAAGGTATTTACGTAATTGAAAGCCATTCATTTTCAGTACTTCCAGTGCTCCCATAATCCATACTTCCTCTCCTATTGGCAAAAACACAACTGTATCTGACCGGTAGGAATAATTGTTACAATTTTTATTCGTGCTTTAGACTGCCGCCTAACGAAGATACCACTGATTCCAAAATTCAGAAATTACTCGGTAATTACTTAAAAATAATTATCTATTTAAAGATACAAATATGGAACTCATTAACTTGTATACGAAAATGTTGAACATTATGACTATTGACAGAAAATCTCGACAACAAACCTCCCTTCCAGCAAACGATGACTTCACACTGCAGTTTCCGATCGAGAATGAAGACCACTTAGAGATGCTGGAAGCATCTTTAAGAGACGAAAAGTACAAACAGCAGTATGTGAGTTGACATATTTAATTCTTATTTCTTGTAGACTGCTAAGATGGTTAGCTGCCTTCAGAGTGATCCAAAGTTATCGCTTAAGGTCATGATGCACCATGTTCTAAAACCTGAAGTGGCTTTGAAGTTTACATTTCAGGGGACTTTGACAAAGTCCAGCATTGTGCCTTACACCTTTTACAAAATAATGAGATGTAAGGTTCATTTATAAAGTACTTAGTTCTTTAGATGTAATTATGGCGCAATTCTCCGGCCAACTAATGACGTCGAGAGAGGTTGGTGACATAATGGATAAGGCCACGAAATCGTACTTTCACAATTTGAAAGATCGTGTCCAAAGACGTAAGCTGAAGAAAGGAACTCAGGTAAAATTGCGAAACACCTGCTTGTTTTTATAAGTCAACGTTTATTGAACATATAGTAATGACAACATTGTTTTCATTTGTAGGCAAATGAAAAAGATACCAGGGGATATAACAGTGGCAGTTATGTAAGTAAACCTTTATAAATGTAAATTCTTACAATGTGCTGAGCACTATTTTTCATCAACTAATCTTATATTTTTCTTATTTACAGGATGCTACCAGTGGATCTCACTTGACGGATTTGCAGTGACAATGTACTACAGTTTATTAAATATAAAATTCTCTCAATTATAAAAACTGATTTCCTTCTGTAAACTGAATGAATTGCGCCGGCGTAGGACACAGGTGATGATAATAAGCAGCAGTCTTTTCGTTCTGAAGTAATGCTAGTCAGTTCTGAATATGTGCTGAGAAGGCTAGAATTAAGCTGAAAAAATTGCCACTATGTGCTGAATTAGGTCTTTTCGT